TACCTTGAAAATGATCTTATAGTACATAATACTATAAAGTTATTTTCAAGACAAAAACCCCAAATATTCAAACACTTGAATACTTGATTACCTTAGTATGTTAATAATAATAATATCCTGATTTGTTGAGAATTAGCAAAAATGAAGTTTTTACTTATTCATATATAGTCAGGGTATTATTAATTAATTCTTCTGTAATTTTGATATAGTAATTGAGTAATTAATTGAATATAACCAATTCATATAACTATTGTTTAATAATAATTTAAACTATTATAAAATTGGAATCAATCTTTAATCAATATGTTAAGGTAATCAAGTGTTTGAATGTTCAAGTATTTGTTAAAAAAAAACTTTATTTGCAATTTTTAACTATTTTAAAAATTATAATAATTGTATAAAATTTTATTTATAATTTATATAAATAAGCAAATTTGATAACAAAAAAAAAAAGAAAATTTATAATCTATAATTTAATTATTTTTAGATCCATCACCACAATTATCTCTTGCAGATAAAATAAAAAAAATGACAACTATAATATATAATAAGCAATGAAAAGAATCAGCTACTCTTGTACTTGAATCTAATAATTTTAAGAAAATGCTTGAAGAATCAGATTCTGATTTAATTGGATTTTTTGATGAAATATGTAAGATTATAATACCATTAAATTGGGCTTCAAATTTACAAGAAGATGCTAAAAAAAAAGTTGTAGTAATTCTTTATTTAATTGCTGGTCTTCATAATATACATGCTAATCAATTTAAATTAGAGCTTGGATTATATCTTGCAGCTTGTGGAGTATCTTATGAAACAATTTAAGCAATGCCAGAATTTCTGTTACTAATAAGACAGTTTATAATAACAAGAAAAAAATTGCTAAACAACATCCATCAAAAGTTAAAGAATATTTTATTAAAAATGTAAGTAAATTTTTTTAAATATTTAAAATAAAGCTAAATAACTAAAATTTTTATATATTATTTTTAAATATTTTAATATATTATTTTAATTTATTTATTAGAAAGATTCACTTTGTATATATAATATAGATGATTATCATAATATTCATGAAAAAAGAAGACCAGATAATACTAATTTATCAGGAGCAGCTCATTTAGCAACAAGTATGTGCAAAAAAATTCAGCAATGTGGACCAGTACTAGTAAATTTTAATGATGTATCAGTTCATAATCCAGTAAATATTGATGCATCAATTATTTGTGAACAACTTATTAATACATATCAAGGGCTTTTTGATCTTTCTTATACTCAACGTAAAATACAATGGGCCAAAACAAAGCAAT